AGAGATGAGGAAGTTTTCAAATAAATGAAACATGTCTATTGAAAATGTCTTGGGCCTGGTGTAGCAGTGCATGCATTTAATTCTGGCACTCAGGAGGCAGAGGCAGGCAGATCTCTGAGTCTGAGGCCAGCCTGGTCTCGATAGTGAGTTCCTGGCCTGCCAGGCCAGGATCACATAGTGAAACCCTGAACAAAAAAAGCAAGATACTGCTCCAAGTTAAATAAGTTCTCTGGGGGCTGGAGAGATGGCTCAGTGGCTAAGAGCACTGTCTGTCCTTCCAAAGGACCTGGGTTCAATTCCCAGCACTCACATAGCAGCTCACAACTGTCTGTAATGCCAATTCCAAAGTAACACTAACTCACATAAGAAAAAAATTTTTTAATAGAAAATCCTCTGGAGAGGGAGATGTGTAAGAGCATTAAGTGTGCTCCCGAGATATCAGCAAAAAGCAAGACTTGAATGAAGGGGACTAGAGAGATGGCTAGGTGGTTAAGAGCACTGTCTGCTCTTGCAGGGATCCCAGGTTTGGTTCCCAGCACCCACATGGCAGCTCACAACTGGAGTTTTGACCTCCAAGGGCATCAGGCACACATGTGGTACCCATTCATACATACAGGAGCCCAAACATACACATAAAACACTTTTAAAAACAAGAACAAAGCTGGGCACAGTGACAACATGCCTTTAATCCCAGCACTCATGAGACAGGGAGGCAGAGGCAGGCATATCTCTGAGTTTGAGCCTGGTCTACATGGTGAGACCCTGTCTCAAGACACAAAAACAAGAAAAGAAAAAAAAAAAAAAAAAACTAGTTGAGCACCTCCCTCCCCTCCAAAAAAGTTGTTGGTTGGTTTTTGGAAACAGGATTTCCAGGCTGACCTCTAACTAAGAGAAATATGACTGCCTCTGCCTCCTGCGTGCTGAGATCAAAGGTGGGTGCCATCATAGCCAGCTTGAAAGAAAGGTTTGAATAGTCCATGGACTTGGTCTGTGGTTCCATGTGTTGTGGTGTGTGTGTCTGCAAGAGGTTAACTAGTGGGAGTTGGGTCTCTCCTTCTACCCTGGGTCCAGGGAAGGAACTCAGGTTGGCAGGATTACTCGGAAAGCCATTTACCCACTGAGCCATCTCACTGCTCCCACCATATTTTGTGGAACAGCTGCCCTCACGGAACCTGGAGCTCACTGATTTGGTTATACCGACTGACCTATTAAGTCCCAGCTTCTCCTGTCTCCCCACCCTCCTCACTGGGTTCAGAGATGCACACTGCTCAGTTTCATGTGGGTGCTGGAGTCCAAACTCAAGTCCTCATGCTGCATAGCAAAAAAAAAGACTGAACAAAAAAGGAAAGGAAGCTGAGAAAACAAAAGCCGCGGCGACCATTCTGCGAGCCCATGGTGCTCATTCACCCTCGTGTTCCAGGGCTTTGCCACCGTCACACATCTTCTCACTCCCAGTAGCCCTGATCTGTTCCAATGGCCGTATGCTGATGGGAAAGACCAAGAATGAAATGCCGTCTAAGCAGCGAGTGATTCTGGAGGGATGTGGTCTCCTGCACCTCCTACGGATCAGGGGCCGTCACCTGGGAGCTATTTCTTAGGCATTAAGAGGGCTTTAAAGAGCTGGAGGGACAGCCCAGTGGTCCAGAAGGCCCAGACTGGAGTTCTAGCACCCACGTGGTGGCTTACAACCATCTGTGACCTCAGGGTGAGAGTCTTCTCACTGCATACATGTAGTGCACAGACAGACAGACAAGCAAAACATCTGTACACATAAAATTTTTAAAAGGGCTTTATAGCCAGACTTTTACTACTTTGTGGACTTTCTTCCAGCCTTTTAACCCCCTGTCACTAGAGATGTGAGAAAAAAGGGATAGAGGAAAGAGAATCCTTGAATAAAGTCAGGGCTGGAACGTGGACAACTTCCTGCCGAATAGGGGTATGGAGTTCCTTGGAGAAAGTTTGATCTTTGACATTGGGATATCTTTCTTGTTTCTTCTTTGCACATGACCACTTAACAAACCTTGATCGACACCAACCAACCAATCCCAACAGCCATGGACCCTACCTATCAGGACTCTAGCTAGCATTTATACCATCTAAAAAGTCCCCAGAATTCCAAACATAACACAATCGCAGAAAATATCTGAAACTGGCAAAACCACGGCTCTGCTAGAGCATGAGGCAAATCATAGTCAGCTGCTGTGGACAGCCTGAAGCAGCCCCGCATCCTCATACCTGGAATTAAAACGAAAACATTCTTAAAGCCACAGATTCCAAGATTCTCACTACAATACTCTTAACATTTTATTATTTATACAGTATTTCTGTACTGCCTGCATGCCAGAAGAGGGCACCAAATCTCATTATAGATGGCTCTGTGAGCCACCATGGCTCATAACCATGTGGTTGCTGTAAATTGCACTCAGGACCTTTGGAAGGAAGTACAGCCAGTGCTTTTAACCTCTGAGCCATCTCTCCAGCCCTCACTATATCCTGGGAAACTACTATCAGATACTGGGTCTTTGCCTTAAAGTATCAGCTGAGCACTTCCCCTCTGAAGTCCACCATGCAGTCAGCCCCTCCAATAACTTGAGCCTAGAGTGTGTGCTGGCCCAGCAGAGCACACACTGTAGAGGAGTAGATCCAAAGAAAAGAGAAGGAAAGAACATAGCTTTTCCCAATCTGAAGGACTGTCAGATGCAGTGAGGCCACTGATAAGCTATTAGCACATCTCTTCCATGGACATGTGTTTGCCACCTCTGGCTCTGCTGAATGCTTTGCCCACAGGGTGTGTGAACTACCTGCTTGAGAGTACCAGAAGCTAGATAACACCAACAGGACTGTTTCTAAGGTCTGTGGCCTAGAAAGTATGGAAATGCATTTGACAACACTCCCTGCAGGTACAAGCAAGATGAAAACGACAGAAGCAACTAGCCCAGGAGGTAGCTGGCAGAGGGTATTGTGAAGTCTGGGTTTCAAATCCTAGCCTTATCTCCATACCTAAGTCATGAACAGAGTGGCTCAGAGCATAATTCCAGAATAACACAAGAACCAGTACAAAGCTTGGAAATGGAAACAGTAAGGGAGCCCTGTATCTGCAGGGGTCACAATGGAAGCAATGACCAGAGACCCAAAAGAGATCAGGTGTAAGGGCCATGAAGATGGCTCGGTGGTTACGAGCAACTGTGCACTGTTCCCGGCCACCACACTCGGCAGCTCACAACCACCTCTACTTTCAACTCTAGCAATCACGGGCACCTGCATACACATGAGCATACCTTTATACAGGCATATAATTAAGAATTAAAAAAAAAAAAAAGTGCTAGGATTCTAGCACTCTGGAGACAGAGGCAGGTAGATCTCAAGTGGATCTCCAGCATCAGTGGTCCATCTGGCCTACAGAGCAAGTTCCAGCCAGGGCTACAACCGAGAAAAACCCAAAAAACAAAAGGTGGGGCATGCTGTTAATCCCAGCACTTGGGGAGGATAGAAGTTCAGCTATAGACCATGTCTCAATTTTTTTTTTCCAAAAAAGGAGGGGATATTATAGGGAGAAGAGCTGGCAGCAGATAAGAGCCTGGAGGCTGCCCTCTGGAGCCCTAGGTGGGCAACCCAAAAAAGAGCCACAGGTTGAGGCATTCAGCCAATTGGAACAGGCAGGCAGGAGCGGTCTGACCAGGACATCTGTAAATGTAAACCCTGATATGGAAAACCCAAAGGTTTCCCCTGCTACCACTGAGGTGGGGACTGCCTAACAGCTGCTAAGCATGGCACAGAGCCTGATACATATGCACCGTGGTTATCACCCTTACAAAGTAAAGGGGTCAGATGTGGCCAGGCAAACCCCGTAGCAACCACACCCAAAGAGGCACCTGGACCTATAAAGACCACCACACCCACTTGGCCCCCCCAGCCTTTTCCCGCCAACAGAGTACTTGTCCACTTCCAGAAAACATTTGCTTAAAGCATATTGTTAAGGATCTACCCATCCATTACCCCCCCCCTTTTAATCAACACATGCGGCTGGTGCTTTTAATCCCAGTAGTCAAGTGGATCCATCTCTGTAGGCTTGAGGTCAACACAAATGGGACTACCACAAATGCCCTAGTGTGATGATTCCTGGAACCCACAAAGCTGAACAACAGACCGGCAGTCTTCTGACCTTCATGTGCATGCCATGGAGGTCAGCACATGCTGACCCTGGGATGTGCTACCCTGAATGGAAAGCCTGCAGACTCCAGTATCTTCAGGCTACCAGTTTGAGGGAAACTGGCTTTCTTCCCATGTTCACCAGGAAAGACACTAGAAACCACTGGGGAGGTGAAAAATCACTCACAGCTCAAGGCGGTAGGTGCTTGCAGCAACAGTGGGAAAATCCTTAGGTATGCCCAGACCAACCCTGGCTAGACCCTGCTGACAACTGATGTTAACCACAGGGGAAATGGCTCCAAAGTTGAAGAAAAAGTGCTTTAGGAGTGGACACCACACCAGGTTAAGCTGGGAAAATGACAGCTCTGGGCCAATCTCCCTACCTGTGCAAGGGGAGGTGCTGGCATGCTCCACTCACTGCCCTGCCTCTAAACATGGGAGGGATGGAGAACCAAGCAAGTGACCTCATTGTTCCAGGTTGTTCTGAGGTTTGGATGGATCAGAGGGACAGTGTGGTCCTAGATAAAACCAGTGGAAAAGGTAAAGCACTCTGAAGACTCCAAGGCCTATGCACTGTTTGACACAGCACCCCTATTTCAAGATGAGCAAGGCAAGAAGAAATCCCTTATCTGGTACTAGAGGCAAACCAATGAAATCTCCTTCCAACTCTGGAAGCCAGGACAGGCATAAATTATGCACACCCAGGCTGACCTATAACTCAAACTGGCATTAGGGTGGGAACCGCTGGGCCCAACTTCATTGGTCCATCCCAAGTAACTACTCGGAGAAGTACCAGGATGTTCACAGGAAGCAGCTGCAGGCACTACCCAGGAATGAATCAACACAATAGATACCTGGTCAGATTTTTATTTCTACAGATAGGAGGCAAAGTTTGTTTCTGTGTCTACTTCCAGCAGCAGTACATGCTACACCACACTCCAGACTGAGTTTCTTGGCATTCTGCACAGCCGTTGAGTTGGACTGGAAAGCAGGCAACAGGGCTGATCTTTAATAAGGTTTGCATTCCAGAAGTGCCTAAGAAGAAAGTAAAAGATTGATGGTCTTGTCTGGCCCATGTCTGGTTAACTCATTTTTCGGCCCATTCCAAGGTAATAAGGCAAATGCCTGGGAACTTCTGGCAGCATAATTCCCCTCCAGTTTCTCATTTAGCAGCATGGTAAATCTGAATGTCTCAAATGATTGCAAGCCAAAGAAATTCTCTGGGAAACTTTACTGCAGAGCAGCAAGAGTCCCCATTACTAACATCCCCAGAATTGGGTCAAAACTCTCAGCAACAGAACCTCACCTGACATCAAGGAAGATCAGACCAACACTGGCACCCATGGCTCCCTCAGGCCTGTAAATAGTAAACAGATGAAGCGAAAATCATAAGTGAAACAGATCAAAAACAAAACAAGCAATTATTCCTGGGACCAATGCATCAGACAAAAACTGGCTATTAGCTTATGAGATCAACAGGGTCGATCTGATGGGGAAAAAAAGTGAAGTCATCAGCTGCACCAGCCAAACTTCTATACTGGAAAGGGACACACGGGAACTGCTTACCAAGTCTCCTACTTGCCAAGTTCACCTTCCATTCAAAGCCTCATCTTGGCTGTCTGCAAACCTGAGATAAAATGCAGAAAAGAATCTCCAATCAATTACGAGAACTGTGAGATACAACGGCAGGAGGTGCTGCTCAAGCAGGCATGTCAGACAAACTGGCTTAGAAAACAGTGCGATCAACATGGTCGATCTGACGGGGAAAAAAGTTCTGTCATCACACATGCCCGCTAACCCACAGGAGTCTAATCTTTCAATTGATAGGTTGGCAGAAGTTAGGATCAGATCCCTCCTTTATAGGCAATTGTAAAAGCATGCTGTGGTCCTTTCAGCATTAGTACACAGCAATGTTTCTCAGGAAAGCTGGTTGTTCCCAAGACTAGTATGAAGTACAATAGAAGCCTGCACAATGGTCTGTGTGGTCAAGGCCCACTGACTACAGCAATAAGGCCTACGCTAAGTACACAACTATCTCATACTTGACCGTCACTGTTCCCTTCCAAGTAAGCCATTTGTGCAGCTGACAGATTTTTTTTTGGTGGTGGGTGTGTGTGTGAAATGAGCCAATTCAAGACAAGCATATAAATGCAGGTTTACTGGGAGGGGCTCTAGGCTGGCTCACTGGTTCAAAAAAAAAAAACGGGCAGAGTAGTCATCAAGCAAGGTAGACAAGAGCATGTGCAGAGGGAGAAAAGAAGCAGAAGAACCAAAATCTCGGAATTATATATAGGGAAGAGGGAGAAGCCCCTACCACTTGGCTATAAAGTTTAGGGTACGGGCTGGAGAGATGGCTCAGAGGTTAAGAGGGCTGGCTGCTCTCCCAGAGGTCCAGAGTTCAATTCCCAGCAACCACATGGTAGCTCCCTACCACCTATAAGATCCGGTGCCCTCTACTGGCAGAGACAGACATATATATATATATATATATATATATATATATATATATATATATAAATAACTTCTTAAAAAAAAAGTTCAGGGTAGAGGGCAGGGGTATGCCAGCCACCTAGGGATTGAGGAATGCTGGAAGAACCTGAAGGTCAGGTCCCCTTTGGTTGAAATGGCACTTCAGCTCCTTGTCTGGGCCAGAACCCAACAGTTCTGATGACATGAAAACGTACCAAGAGGGTTTCTAATAGTCTGGATGTTTCTCTTAAACCTGGCCATTCATTAGGACATGTAACAAATAGCTGAGAAGCAGGACACATGCTTAATACTAACAGTGGACCCATCTCCAGCACTGGCTAAAACCATTAATCTCATTGTTAATTCTTGCACGACATTTCAAATCCCACTTAAAAAGGTTCTTCAGTGTTCCCTACATTAGTCCAAAAGACATGTGTACATACAAGATTAGGAAACCGAAGATGGTAGGCGATTTCTCATCTTCCTGGAAGCCCAAAGGTGATATCTCCTCGACCGCCATTCTCCATTCCGCATCGCTTGACCAGGCCAACCTACAGAAGAAAATCGTCAGTCGCCATATTGTCTCGACCAGAACAAAGCAGCATAAAGACTTTGGGGGCTGGTGTATCAGAAATAACTGGCAAATATTTCTAAGAAATCAGCATTTTCGATATGACGGGGAAAAAAGTGGTCATCATTTACACCAGCCAAAATACGCTTTATAGGCCAAACAAGAAGATAGGCATCTTTTCCACCTCCCGGAAGGTCAACCTGGGGCTGGCGCTGAACACGCCATGCCTGGAGACTATGACCAGCCACAGAACTAAACTTGGTAAAAAGTGAACAGAAAATTCTGCTGTGAGACCTTAACTCACCATTTGTAGATGACTCCCGCAGGGATGAGACATGCCACACAAACAATGACCACTGGAAACGTGTGAAGAACGAAAAGGAAGAGAACGCGGCGAACCTTCCTTATATAGACCAGGGCGGCTCGTGCGCCTGCGTACTGGGCCTAATGTGAGCTGCTTCCGGTAGCGGCCGCTATGCCCCCTGGGAAATGTAGTCCCCGAGCCGCACGGCCCCAGCTTGTTAATGGTTGTCCAGCCTGCCTCTAGCCCCTCCCCGTGCTCACTGGGCCTCCGGGACTGCTCGGCCTCCGCGCCATGTCGCGCTTGGCACGCACGAGCCGCCCGCCGCGTCCCCCGGCTCTGGGGCGGGCCGAAACTTGCGGCCGCCCGGGGCGCAGTCAGCCCGCCCCCCGCCGCGCCCTCCCATCAGCCGCGCCCGCGGGAGCCGCCAGTCCAGCCGCCGCCGCGGGGGCTGAGGCGACACCGCCCTTCCGCCCGCCCCGAGGGCGGGGGCGCAGGCGAGCTCGTCCCAGCCTCTCGCTGGCGCCCGGGGCACCGCCTCCTCGTCCTGCGCGGCCTCCTCCTCCTCCTCCGGGCCGCCCACCCGGCTCCTCGCTCCGCCCAGGGGCTGCGGGGACTGGAAACCGAAAGTGCGCGGCGCCGGGCGGGGCCGCGACCTGCCAGGGCCAAAGCTGAGCGCTAGCCTTGCCGAAGACGCTCCGGAGCCGGTGAGTAGCCTCCGCCCCATCCCGCACCTGCTTCTGCTGTGCTGCGACCGCTGGCGCCCCGCTCTGCCTCTGGCCGGGTGTCAGGTTAGTCTTGGAGTCCCTGTCTGCCCCGTTCAGCGTCCCCATCACCCCCGAAGTCCCTGTCCCTTTCCCTCAGTTCCTCTACATTCCCCAGAGTCCCTGTCCCCTTCCCTTAGTTCCCCTATAGCCCCCGGGGTCCCTGTCACCTTCCCTCAATTCCTCTATAGCCCCCGGGGTCCCTGTCCTCTTCCCTCAGTTCCCCTATAGCCCTTGGGGTCCCTGTCACCTTCCCTCAGTTCCTCTATAGCCCCCGGGGTCCCTGTCCCCTTCCCTCAGTTCCCCTATAGCCCTCGGGGTCCCTGTCACCTTCCCTCAGCTCCTCTATAGCTCCCGGAGCCCCTGTACCCTTAGTTCCCCTATAGCCCCCGGAGTTACTGCCTGCTCCCTCAGTTCTTCTATCTTCCCCAGAGTCCCTGTCTTCTTCCCTTAGTTTTCCTATAGCCCTCGGAGTCCCTGTCCCCTTCCCTCAGTTCCCCTATAGCCCCCGGGTTGCTGTCTGCTCCCTCAGTTCCTCTATATCCCCCAGAGTACCTCTCTGCCCCTCTTAGTTCTCCTATCATCCCCGAAGTACCTGTTCCTTTTCCTCAGTGCACCCTTAGCTCCCATCACCCACTAGGATCTTTTCCCACTCTCCTTGCCACCCCTAGAGTCCTGCTTCCTGCCTCCCACCATCACCCTCAATCCTTCCCTCAGTTTGTGTGTGTGTATATATATATATATAGTATATCTGGTTATCAGCAGCCCATTTCCCAGTCCCTGTTCTCTGCTCAGCAGCCTCATCGCCCCTAAATCCCTGTACCTTTCCATCAGCATCAGCATCATTCCCCAGAGTTGCTGTCTCCTCTCCTTAGCAGCCCCCATCACCTCCAGAGTCAGGGTCTCCTCCCCACAGCACCCAGCGCCTCCTGAGACATTAACACTACCATTACCTCCTTCCCCTCTCTTTAGTTCACCTATCCCCACCCTGATTGACCCATCATCTCAGCACCCAGTCATTCTTGGGAGCCTTTCTCAGCGTCCCCTGTAGCTCTCCACTTCATCCCCACAGTTTCCATCCTGCCTGTGATTCCAGCCTCTGGAGCCTCACCATCTCCCTCCATCTCTCCTCCCTATCTCTGTCCCCATTTCTGCTACAACCACCCTTGCCTCTGGCTTCACCCCTTTCACCTCATTCACCCAGCATCTGCAGAGCATCCTATCCTGGGCTCCCCGTTTCTAAGCTCTGCCCCACCTCTAAGCCCCCAGATCACGCTTGCTTTCTGTTCACCTTACAGTGTTTCTCTAAGGGATGCATGGTGGGGAGATTTCTCTTAGGACTTGAAACTTACCCTGCAGCGTAGCTGCCACCTCTTGCTCCATCCTTATTCCTCTCACCCCATAATTACAGCTCTCTAAATTTTGTCCCTGCAACTGCTTTACTGTTGCTGATCTTCTTCCTATCCTCCCTGCCTTGATTCCCTCAAAACCCTAAACAAAGCATTCCCCTCCTCTGTGATCCTCCATCTCTTTCCTTGCCTCTCTAGCACTTAATTTCCTTCTTTTTTTTTTTTAACACTCCCAAATTGCTGGCATTCTATTTTAGTATTTTTCAAAATAAGGAAGAAGGGGTTTTTTGTCTAAGAAAAAAATTAAAAACAAACACTAACCATTGAGCCTGCAGCATGAGAACAGGGTTTGGTAAGATTGAGGAGAAAAGACACCACAAAAATATTCCCAGGGGGAAGAAAAGGGACTCTTTTTCTGATAAGAATAAAAGCTACCTCTCACACAATGCCAAATCTATTCACAGTTTCCAGCTATGAATATTTTAAAACTGTGAGGACAGTCTCAGAACTCCTTTTGCTGAGAACTGAGTCACCATCCCCCCACCCCCTTGCACCCACATGACATGCATGAGTTCTACTGAGAAGTTCCCTGAAGGGCCTTCCTCTTCACCCAGCTTCAGAAATTATCAGGACGGAGGAAAGGCAAGACTTGCTGACTTGTAGCTTGTCCCAAGAGGTAGCACTAGTAGCTCACTTATTTTCAGGTGGTAGGGTGAACCTGTAGACTGCTGTGTCATAGGAATGCCCAGTAGGATGGTGAGCTCTTGGGTAATGTGTCAACAGGGTCTCATCTAGTCCATCTTGGCCTAAGACTCAGTGGAGGCTGTCTTTGAATATCCGATCTTCCTGCTTCTCCTTCCCAAGTGTTCTTAAATTCCTGACCCCCCGGCCTCCACCTCCCAGGGGCTGACATGAATGAACACTGCAGTTAGGCCGTGCCTGGTTTTTGACTGACACATGTGAACTCCTTTTGCCTCAGCAATCATTTTGTAAGAAAGGAAACGAAACCTAAGCAATGGATTAAGTAACCTGGTTGAAGGCAAACCAGATAGTTAGTTTGGGAGTTGATGACACTGTTTCTGACTCCAGACAAGTGGAAGGATTCCAAGAATGGGGAATTGGATCACTTGGAATTACCTAAATTGTGAGTTTAGCTTAGAGTTTTTATCACATTTGGGAATCCACAGGGTTGAGTGCTCATGCCCATGATTAAAATCTGCATGTTACTCTTAGTTAATAAATCATTAACATATAAAGGCAGAAGGGCTGGCTTCCTGGTGTTTGGGCACTGGCTGCATTTGAAGGGCACTGGTGACTCTCAGCCTGTACAGTTACAGGTAACTAAGTCAGGTGAGTGTGGAAGAACCCGGGACTCCGACATGGAAGACAGAAGACCACATCTGGAGGCCAGGCCCAGGAATCCCCCTACCAACCACAGAGGTAAGCAGCGTTTTTACCCAGTGAGGAGGCGAAGCCTGTGTGAGATGGCCTGCATTTTTCAGTTGATAAGGACCTTCTTGCCTGGTGGTGGCGGCACACACCTTCAATCCCAGCACTCAGGAGGCAGAGGCAGGCAGATCTCTGAATCTGAGGCCAGCCTGGTCTACAGAGCAAGTTCCAGGACAGCCAAGGCCTCACAGAGAAACCCTGTCTCAGAAAACAAAAAAGGGACCTCCTTAGCTACAGCATGAATGGCATGAAAATCAGCTATTCTTCATAGGAGACCTGTGAATGATACTTTGATAGAAGGCCTGTCATTCCAGCAGGGGGCCAAGAAAGCTAAGAGTTTCAGGCCAGCCAAACAGTAAGATTAAGGCCATCTTGAGCTCCCTAGTGAAACCTTGTCTCAAAAACGAGGGCACTTGCCTCAGTACCTGCCCTCCGTAAGGCTCTTGTTTGGTCCCTGATACTGTGAGGCTGAAAAAAAAAAAAAAAAATGATGGGATGTGAGAAACAAAATGACTCTTGGTTTGTAGCAGGGCTATTCAGTAGAAGCTTGGTACAGCTAAAAACTGCTTTCTAACCTCTAATAGCATCATTAGGAAATTTAAAAGGTAAATACTAACATTTAATTTTATGACTGTGTGTGTGTGTGTGTGTGTGTGTGTGTGTGTGTGTGTGTGTGTAAATTAGAGGACATTTCACAAGAGTTGGAGTTTTTTTCCTTCCACCATGTGGATCTTGAGAACTGAACTCAGATCATCAGGGTTGGTAACATGTGCCCTTATCTTCTGAGCCATTGCACTGACCTTGAATTTTTTTTAAATTAATAGCAACTTAATAAAGTGTAATGCTCTAATTTCTTTAACTTCCTCATAATTAAGATATTAACATTTATGAGAATTAATGCACATATAGACATATATGGACCAAAACATTCAAATACATAAAATAATAATAAATTTTTAAAAAATTTAGAGGCCTGCTTGGATTACAGGGCTAGATGCTATCTCAAAAAGGGCAGGGGGTGGGCGGAGAACCTATCCAGGTGGGACACTTTTTAATCCCAGTAGTAGGAAGGCAGAGGCAGACACATTTCTGTATGTTTTAAGCCAGCCTTGTCTACATAGTGAATTGCAGACTAGCCAGGATTGCACAGTGAGACCCTGTCTCAACAAAACAAACAAACAAACAAAAAAAAAAAAAAAAAAAAACACTTAAGGATATTTGCATCTGATGTAATAGAATGGTCCACTCATCTTTGTTTTTGAGACAGGGTTTCTCTGTGTAGCCCTGGCTATCCTGGTACTATAGACCATGCTGGCCTTGAACTCACAGAGACCTGCCTCCCTCTGTCTCTCAAGTGCTGGAATTAAAGGCATGTGCCACCACTGCCTGGCTAATCCAGTCATCTTTAGTCTTAAGTATTACGTACATTGGTAGCTTTCCTAACTTTTATTATTAAATTGTGCACAGCCTGTGTTTTGCAATTCTCCACACCACTCTGCTAAGGTCAGCTCTAGAGTCATTTTAGAGGAAAAGGAAGTGACTTTGAGCCTTCATGGTGCTGGCTCCCAGGGAGGCTGT